GGCAGCCACGGTAAGCCTTGGCATGTCTATAGAGTATATGAGCCAACGGGAGGCTGACTTTATTGCATCCATACTAGGCTTGACTCGGATTCATTCACGCTGTCCGGGGAAGGCTGTTTATTGGGTGGCGGTATGGGGTGCAGTAAAGGCGGGGCAGATTCCGGCTAGGCAATATACTAGAATACTAGACTACAATCCCAGACTATATGAGAGTATATTGTTTAATCTATTGATGAGAAAATGCGGAAAATGCGGAAAATGTGAAATATATTGAAATATAGAGGAATGGGTACAGCTATAAACAGGAGTATACACGGCTGGACTGTTGCATATCTGGCTAGATGATAGTATTGTGCTATATAGAAATATGTTCAGAATGGATAGGTTAGTATAGCGGTGGAGCGGCGCCTAGCTGTGACTATATACGACAAGATCTGATTCTTACTGGGGTTTATCAGTGAGTGAGTAGAAGATCTAAAAAAATCTCCCTGGCGGGGAGTCGAACCCCGCTTTCGCGCGTGCTTCCATAAGCGAATGACAGGCGCGTGTACTAACCGATATACTACCAGGGATTGATATAAGCACCACATAGAAATAATATAATCAACAAAAGGTAGTCCGGCACTAAGGATTTTCTCATACAGTTGCATCTCATTGGCACAACACCAGCGAACAGCGAATTTGTCTGATTAGTACGTTCAAGTTAGAGCAACGAGTAACTTGGTGCTTAGTAAGTAACTGGTGCAAGATGTGTACATCTCACTACTTGTGTACTAGTATCCCAGAATTCCACCGCCCTGATAGAATCCCTTAGTACCGATAGTTCTTTCCGATTCCTGTGACAAACCGTGTACCGGTCGTACCCACTCTGACTGTGAGATGAACAGGCCAATTTACAGATACACAGTAGATTATCGTCCAAAAGAGTTCACCCATATTACAGGAGATGCAAATGCCGCGAATAAAGTTACACAGTGCTCTCCGGTCTACCGTCCTGCAGCCAATTTTTCGTCGAAGAAAGCGCGGATATCTGCCTCTGTGACTTCCTTATCTTGCTCTGCAAAGGGCCGGAGATGCTTCAATAATCCGTCACTGTTACAGGAGCAGCGTCAGAAAATTGATCTGGCTGAACTCTGTAGTTTATATAATGACTGACCGCATCTCATTGAACGCATGTATACCGTCAATCGCCCGCTCACGAGGTAGCTTCTGCAATGCGCGCAAGCCGAGTTCCTCGAGTGAGAGACCTATAGAACGGTCAACATCTGTTAGTTCGAGAGGCCCTAATTCGGTTTGGAGGGAGTGACAGTGTACAAACCTGAATCCGGGTCCTCTGGCGGCTCGTAAGTCTCCTCTTCCTCCAAAAGGAATGGATGTTCACTAAGTGAAGGCAAGCACTATACAAACAGCACATCGTGAGCTATGTTCTTATACACGGAACATACGAAAGGGACGTACAGAGTTGCATTTGCACCACCGCTCTCTCCAACCGTCCGTCAGGAAGACGTCCCCTGCCCCGAGTGACTGTGGATCGACTCCACAGTCCGATTTTGGGGCGACTGACAGAACACCCTGTGCAGCGGGATTCAGAGGGGGTGCTAGACAGGGAGAAGAATGGCCATCGATAGGAGGAGGAGTGGGGTAAACTTCCGAGGGGCGAGGGCGTTTTGCCTCAGGTCCATCTACAGACGGATCTGGATGTGGTCTCTTGTTTCCAGCGACGACCGTCGCTGTCTCATGAATGTCGACATCGTCGTCCTCTTCAGGCTCTTTGCCTATGACTTTCCACGGTTGCTGTGGAGTGTCTCTGACGACCATGAGTACGCCGCTCGTGCCCGCATATTGCTGGAGTGTTGGGATTTTCCGCACGCAGGTGCTGCAGACAAAAGACTCGTACGAGTCGGCCGTGATCAAAGGAGGAGGCAGGCCCGAGGAAGATGCCTCTGAGTGAGCGTCGTCGTCTTCGTTGGTCAAGACAATGTTGTCCACAAGGGTCGGTTTCTCTGCGGCAGGTTCAGGGGTGGGCTGACGAGAGAGAGGCCGTTCACGAAGGTTCAAACATGACTCGTGATACCAATCCTATAGTACCACCACTCTAACGATCAGAACAGCATGAAAAGACACTGCCGAGCGCACCTCACAGGATAAACACTGAATCATAGTTTCCCTCTCTTGTTGCGCATCATACTCTCGTCCACATCGGCAGAAAACGCCGTGAAAGTTCTGGTTATATTCGTTCCCCGCATTTCCCTGCTCCAGAGCGTGGTGCAGGGTGCACTTGTGCGACAAGGCCGCCGTTGGACAGTCGCAGCGGAACTTCCGCTTGGGGAAGAGTTCAAGTTGGTCGTGATCGGTGTGGCATGCGATGGAACATGCTGAACAGATCCCTCTCGTCTCTCCGCAGGTGCGGCAGAGATAGACAGCTTGGCGGATGTATCCAAGAGGGTGAGTACACTGTGAGAATTGGTGTGGGAGGGCTTCGGACGCTTCTTGGAGGAGGGAAGCTTGGGAGGCTAGGATGGAGGACAAGGTCAAGGAGGTCATGTTGGTTAGGAAGAAGTGCACATGAAGCTACCACAGTGTCAGATGTTATACACTCCAGAGGAGTAAACAGCCAAAGACTGCGAAGATATTTCCGAGAAAAAATACGAGAACTTGCGCAGGTCAGAGTGCGCAAGCAGGACAAACGCCGACGAAATCAGCCAAGGTTCAAAAGAGTAACGTTATTTCGACGGAATCCCATTGCATTTCTGTCAGAGCCAGGGTATACCATAGCGGCCGAATACACAAGCCAACGATACACAACTACTAATATAAAACGGCACGAACAACCACCAAGTGCAGTACGATAGCGACGTCGACGAGAAAACGAGCGAGAATCGATAAGTACGGCCTGAGATAAAAAGGTAGGTAACGCAAGGGGTTAGAACAGCTTTAAGGGTTAATCTGTTCAAGATGTCCGTGTGCAGCGACAGGACCGGCTCGTGGAGCTGAAGCGGGAGAACAAAAAAAGAACACCTAGTCCACACTACGGAGGTAGAAAGTACGAGGGAGGGAAAATGAGGCGCAGGAGTGGCATAGAGTGGTGGGCAGAACACGGCGAGAGCATTCAGGCGAGACCTAGCGACACAGGAGGCAGAACCAAGACTAAACGTACAAGGCGAGAGATCGCCCAATTATAGAAATTACATGGAAACCGCTTGAATTGGCTGCGAAGTAGCATGTCTTGTTACAGGAGCTCAGTTCTGGTGCAACACCATGAGAGACAGCTGTCAACTGAGAGACAGAGCTACTGACCGTTACGCCTCTGCTGCTGTTTCTTCCTCTGCGGCCTCAGCCTCAGCCTCAGCTTCTGGGTCCTCGGCAATGGTTTCTGGGGCGGGAGCAGCATCGGTGCCGTTTTCCTTGGTAGCTTCAGCCTGGAAGATTGAGGAATCAGACTCGGGGAACCCGGTTTCAGCGATGCGACGAAATCCCTCAGGTGGCCGATAGAGCGTCCAGTTGGGAAGATCGAGCTCGATGGGTTCAACGTACCTTTGAGGCGGGTTTCTTCGAGCCTGCACGTGAGGCTGGCTTCTTAGCTGTCGTCGATGGTGGTTTAACAGAGGCTTTGGAAGCAGGTTTTGTGGATGCTGCCCGAGATGGGGGCTTAGAGCCAGCTGCGGCCTTTGACGCCGGCTTAGTAGCTGCCTTGGAAGGTGGCTTGCTCGGAGCCGCCGCCTTGGATGAGGGTTTAGAGGCTGCCTTGGAAGCGGGTTTGGCCTGTAAAGCGGTTTTTAATATGATGCAGTATTATTGGGTGCAATCCGCACTATGTACTTGCCTTCTTGGCTGGAGGCTCTTCGGTCGCCTCAGCAGCGCCATTGGCACCTTCAGCTGGGGTCTCTTCTTCTGCGTCCTTTTCTGCGGCAGTTCTCTTTTTCCCCTTGGTCGATTTAGGCTTCTCAGCTGCAGCCTCTGGTTCCTTCGACTCCTCTTCCCCTGCAGAAGTCTCTGCTTTAGTTTTCTTCGCCCTGGGCTTTGCCGGGGCTTTCTTGGGAAGAGTTTCGGACTTTGGCTGATCCTTTATGCGAGAAGACCGACGGGGCTCTGCTGCTGCGTCTGCTGCTGGTGCTGCTGCCTTGCGGGGCATGTTGAAGACGATGAGGAAGGGGGCGGGGACGGCGAGGAGAGGAGAGGAGAGGAGGGTGGTGGTAAAACGAGGAGGAGAAAACGCGCTTTGCCCTCTGACCCTGTGGATTTAACCGAAACGCTCAAGCCTAAACCCAAATTCGCGATCAACAAGCCTGTCACGTGCGTCGCGCTTGTCACGTGGAAAACACAGTCGCGAGTTCGATCCCCGGGTATGGTTACAATCCAATATTGGTATACGTAGTTTAGAATCCAGCCTGTGCAGCTTCCCTTTCTGCAAGACTCCCTCTCGCAGCCCACGCCTTGACATGAGAGTGGCCAGGGTCCCTCTCCTTCTCTACGTCCGGGGGTGCTCCCCACGCTCCTGCACCTGGAGTCTCAATAACCAGCCTGTCTCCTTTGCCCATCCAGACGGTCGCTTTCCCTCCGATGTTGATGTTGCGAGGCTTCAAAGGCTCCTTGTTCGAATGGTCTTCGGACAAGTCACCATCCTGCTTACGGGCCTGTTTGACCCAAGTGTTCCGGCCAAGAGCGCCCGGTTCCCCTCCCTCAAGCCCATATGGCTGCCTGGTACGGCGCTGAAACAGATAATCAGTACCGCTCCTGTCATCGTGGGCATGACACCATGACTTACTTCAGAAAGAATCGACACCTGCAATGGCTCGGTGAATTCAATATCACGGACCACTCCGTCCCCACCGTTGAATTCTCCCTTGCCGCCAGACCCAGCTCTCAAGCCGAACTTATGGATCATGACAGGGTAGCGGCGCTCAAGGATTTCAACGTCACCAATGCGGGTATTTGTGATGTGCGTGTGAACACCAGATGTTCCATGCCACGATGGACCAGCGCCCGAGCCACCGGCGATAGTCTGAAGGGCGCAGCCGTAAGCATGACTTGTCTAAAATATCCAATATCAGTCCTAACCTCGTAGTATCCCCAACCAGAAATGTTATTTCCGTCTTTATCCTTTCCTCCAGCGCCAAAAGTCAAGTTGCTGAGCGGCGTCAGGAGCGCACATACATAAAAAACGGGTTTACTTACTTGGTACATCCTTGGCTCGCGGCACACGCATGGAATGCCTTCAATACAACGTCCACAATTCGCTGTGAGGTGAGCACATTCCCACCGCACACCGCGGCAGTGAGTGACGGTGAGAGTAGGGATCCCTCCGGAATGTTAACTTTGGGCGCGATCAAGGTCAGGAATGCCAATCGCTGGGAAGAACATCACACTTACTCGTAAGTGGAACTAGGCATCCGGCGTTGAGCGGAATATCCATGTCAAGCATGGCACGCATGCAGTAAATGACGGCCGAATGAACAACGGAGATCGGAGAGTTTAGGTTACCACGAACTTCGCAACCTGTCCCGGAGAAATCGAAATATGCAGAGCCCTCTTTCTCGTTGATCTCCACCCTGAGTTGAATCTGGAATGATGG